CATTTCAGTTGGAATTTTGAGCAATTGCAGCCATAAGCAAAGGTCCAGTTCATGAAACTGTAGCAATTTATATTTGCTCACAGTATGAAGCATCTTTATCTTCCTCTGGTCGGATTCTGGTCAGCCAGCCAAATGTGTCAAATGGGTACTAGCTGCAAGTTTGGAGTTCATGCATGCTTCCCTGCACTTCAGACCAGTCAGCTGCTAGGTCAGAGTACATGAGCTCGGGCGTTCACACATCTCCCTAAACTTCAGACCAGCCAGCTGTTCCTCTTGTCTCTGAGAGCTCTAGTCTTATAATGAACATTTCAAATGATTTCTTGCTACATATTGATGATGTTGTTGCAAGTGACATAGAATCTGTTAGAATGTTTATGGAGCAAACAGCCTTGGGAGGTAGAGACAGTATCCCTTTCTAGAGCAAAGGGCAGGGTTGTTTTTAAACTGCTAGTGATTGCAACTTAATGTGCAGTGATAGTGGCATCTAGCCACCTCCTGCAGCCTCTCGTACTTGGAGGCAGTAACATCAGCGAGTTCACCAGCTGGTTGTGGGTCATGATGTGGACACTGGAAATACAAGAGTGTCCATCACAGCCTGGCTATCCATCCTCCTGGTGATATTAAGAGATGCTCACTACATATACATACATCTGTATACTACATATACATACATCTGTATATAGTCCTAGGTGTGGCATTGGGGGTTAATGCATTGGACTGCAAAGTCAGTTTGAACTACAAGGTTGCTGGTTCAAATTCACCAGTCGCTCCTGGGAAATCATATACAGGGTTACTATGAGTCAGAACTGACTCAATGGCATTTAAAAATAACAACAACAGCATATATAGTTCTGGAGTAGTGCTGTAGGATAAACACTGTATGGCTAACCACAAGGTCAGTGGTTCAAATCCACCAGCTGTTCCTCGGAAACTCTGTACAGAGCTGCTATGGGTTGGAATTGACTCAATGTCCCTTAACAATAACATATATATAGATATGTATATAGATTATATTTAGTCTTCAATTACTGATCATTTCATTATCTATATTTTGCATTTATGACAATAGGAAAAAAACCTACTATCCACCTGTTACTATTGTTCTTCTGTTGATATGTGCTGTTGGGTCATTTCTGACTCCTGGTGACCCTGTATAGGGTTTCCATGGATTCCTGGTGACCCCGTAGAGGGTTTCCATGGATTCCTGGTGACCCCGTAGAGGGTTTCCATGGATTCCTGGTGACCCCGTA